CGGGGGCGGGGGCGGGGGCGGCGCTGCCCGGGGCTCAACTTCCCGGCCTCGACCCCAAGCATGGGAACCGGAGAGTGCCTGGGAGTCCCCTGCCTGGGCTCTGGGAAGGAGGGAAGGACTGGGGACAGCTGAGGATCGGACGTGGGGGACAAGGGGACAGGACTCCACAGAAGACAGAAGAGGTATGGAGGAGAGGGGACAGAGAAGGCAAGGTATGCAGACAGAGGGCAGAACAGAGTGGCTGGCACCGAGGACAGGGGGACACAGAAGCAGGGGCAAGGTTCAGGGGACTGAAGGAAAAGGGGCTGGAGATGGCCCTGAGAGACAGACAGGGACTAGACAGCAGGACAGGCGTTAGGAGATATGGCAGTGAGTGGTGTCTTGAGAATGGGGTGGTGGTGAAGGGCCAGAGGCTGACCAGGGGGAGAGAAGGGGACAGCAATGAAGAGGTGTCCGTAGGTGGCAGGAGGGGTGGGCAGGAGAGGCAGGGACTCAGAGACTGAGGCAGGCTATCCCAGAGAACAGGGTCTTGTCCACGGCTAAGCCAGGTGGCCCCTTCACTCAGGGGCCCCAGGAGGATGGGAGGGCACTGAGTCAAGAGGATTAAAAGGGTCGGGGAAGTGACTTCTGGTGGCGAAAAGAACCGGAGAGCTGAGAGGGACTCCAGGACTGTCCATCCACGCCCTTCCTTAGGCCTACTGGACACTCCAGTCAGCCAGGAGACCAAGGGGTCCTGCTCCACACTCCCAGCTCCAGCCTGGGCACTCCTGAGGGAGGCTGTGCCTGGAAGGCTGGGGAGACTGGGACCACTGTCCAGGGTTGGAGCTGATCTCACTGAGCAGACTGGACTTCCAGTGTTGCTCACTCTCAAGAAAGCTGAACTGCTCTTCCTGCTCAGAGAACCCCAGGACCCCCACACACAGTTCAGGGGACTCACCCAGCACACAAGGACAGGCTCATCCATGCAAACCTGGACCAGCAGAGCCTCACATGCATGGACCATATACATAGCAGTTTAACCATTGCTCACACACGTGCATACATATGTACACACATGCACAAGCTCATGCACATTGAAGTATGCATGTGACTCCCACATATGCATGTAGGTGCTGCAGCACACAGAGACCCTTAGACTGGCATTCATGCCCACTGAGGGTATGTCCTCTCAGAGTAGGTAAGATCCTTCCTCCAAGGAAAGCAGAGGGGCCCTTTGCAGGGTGGCTGAGGGGCAGGTGGGCAGGCAGGTCTGACTGGCTAGATTGTGATGAGATGTGTTTGGGGGAGGTGTTCTGGGTGAGTCAGGAAGAGGGCAAGAGGCCTGGGAATACTTTTCTTAGGCTAGGGAGGAGGTCCTGGCCCAGCAGTTTCTGAGTCAACCCTCAGCAAGGCTACAGGAGTCAACTGTGCATCCCAAGTCCTTATCTCACTGTTTTGTGGAGGAGCCAGAACCTGTCAGTCACAGGTTTATGGGCCTCAGAGACCTGTGAGGAGGGGATTTTTTCCCAAGATCCAGTGCTGCAGGCAGACTTGAGTGAGGGATGTGTGCAGCAGAAGGGCCACAGCCAGAGAAGAGGCAGGGCTGTAAAGAGGAGACATTCACCCATAGTGAAGTGATATAGCCATCTGATAACTTACAGAGTGCCCCGCCAAGCAGCGCTTGCCCACGCAACTCACAAGGCCACAGGATGACTACCTGGGCCTGGGTCCCACATGGGACACCCAGGTGTCCCTTATGGCATGTTCCCTGGACTGCTACAGAGCCAAAACCAGCTAGGGAAACAGTTTGGACTCAGGGAGGAGGCACTGTTCCCAGTTGGAGCCCAGCAGAGGTGACAGTGCCCAGCCTGGCCAACTGCCCATTGCTCACTAGACTGCTGGGCAGCCATGCACCTGCAGATTCCCTGAGCCCCACCAGTCTCCAGGCCCCTTATTGCTCCCCAGGGTGGATCACTCTCTACTTCTAGGTGGTCTGTCTGTGTCCTGGGTGATGTCCCTGGGCCACCATGATTCTCTGGCCTCGCCATCATGCGTTGTGTCCTCAGGGAATGTGAATCAATTTAAGTATTAGTCTCAGTGAAATGGAATGGGGGAAGGTGACGGTGCTGGAGAGAAAAGGAATCGCATAATGCCTTGCATGGTCAGGCTGGAGCCGCTGAGGAATTATCTGTGCTGCTCAGTGCTAAGCGAACCTGTGTGGTCCCCTGGAACAGCCGGTGCATGCAAGCCTGGGAGGGCTGCCTGATGGCAACTTCCAGTTGAGGAACCTGAGACCTGAGGAGTGCAGTGAGAGGTCTTGGAGTCTAGACCTCTTATTTTTCAAGTAGGGGACACACCCAGAGGAAAGTGACCTCCTGGATTGGCAAGCTAGGTCTGAATTTCCAATGGGACACAGGCCAGGCTAGGAAGACCCAGAGCTTGAATTTCATCCAGGCCCCAACAAACCTTTTGTTAGCCTGGGGTATCCCTTGGGTGACACTCCAATCCCTCCTTCCTGTGGATAGAGATGTGAGGTACAAAAACTGGAGATGGGCCAGAAGGGAGAGGAGGGGAAGGGAGGGACAGAGAAGCATCTAGAAAGGAATTGGAACGAAGAGCCCTGGACTCCCACTGCCCGTTGTGAATCCAGTAGAATTGATTTTTGACTTATCTATGGATTATCTGAGGGCTGGCTATGGGACTTCATGGGGATGGAAGGTCCCAGAAGGTAAGCCTGAAGTCAGGGTGTCCACAGAAGCATGGGTAGCTGTTCTTTCCAGGTGCTCAGAGGTAGGAGCAGATCTGAGCTGGGCCATTTCCTGCCCAGAGAAAGAGGCCTGGGGGCCTGGGACCTACATCTGGGATGCGGGCTAGGGTGAGGACACCCCTGAGTGCCCTTTACTTGCCCTCTCTCCTAATGGGGCCCACTGGTCTTAGGGGGAACTGCAGTGCAACCCCCTTCTCCTCCCCCCAGCCAGCAGGAGGAGAGAGCTTGCCTGACCCACTTTTCTCTCCATTGCATGAGAACAAGGGAGGGAGGGAGATGGAAAGCCTCCTTCGCTCTGTCTATGCCCCTGGTGCACGGCCAGCTTGGGAAGGGAGACATCCCTCCATGGACACTTTCTCCAGCCCCTCATCCTACCCAGGCACTGGGGACCTAGAGAGGAGGAGTTTAAGAAGCCTGGTCCCTGATTCAGCCAGGCCTCTGATGCTGGAGTGGAAGGAAGGAAGGAGGCTAGAAGGAAGGAAAAAACGAGCAAGTAAGAGCGTCCTTAATCCATGGTTCTTGAGGACACTTGTCCCCACCTTCTAGGGCCAGGTTGGAGCTATGCAAATCCCAGGCAGAAGGACACTCTGCCTCTCTGAGGGAAAGTTCTAAGAGGCCCAGCTTTAACCCTCTACAGCCTGCCTGGAGGTTCCAATAGGCCCAGCCATGACCCTCTGCAATGTCCCACTCTGGTAGATGGAAGCCCAGAGTGATTGGCTGGGGAAGGAGACCCATGGGAAAAAGAACATGGAGGGCTGTGGGGCTGAGCGAAAGGTCTCTGTTAAACTATAGCTGGAGAAGTCGAAAGGAAGCAAGGCCCAGAGGTGGGAAGGGACTTACCTGAGGACACACAGACGGTGCGGACAACTGGGACTGGAGCCCAGGTTTCTGAGCAGTCTGGTGTACTTGTACCCTCTTGAGGGAGTGGGTGAACACAGGGACATGGAGAGAGGATGGGAGAATCTGGCAAGGACTAGCTTTGAACCAAGCACTGGCTCCAGGCTTTACAGATGGCTTCCTTACCCCCATGCAAACCCTTCAGTCTTACCAGCTAATTTCATAGAGGAGGAAATTGAGGGTCAAAGAAGTAGATGAACTTGTTCACAGGAGACTGTGATATGATAAGGGCCTAGGAGTGTCTGACCTCAAAGGCAGGCTGTTTACCTTTGCGGTTCAAATGTGCAATGACCCCAGGTGGGCTCAGGGCCTGGCTTTGAACCAGATCACCTTCCCCACCGACCCGGGACACCACCCAGAGAGCTTGCTTCTTGGTCCAGCCTTGCAGGATGATGGTGCTATGTTCCAGCCCTGCCAGCCAGCCACACCTGGGCTTCTAGGCAGGTTTCCAAACCTCTCAGAGGCATGCCTTTCATCCTTAAAATGGAAATTATGCTAGCCACTTCTCTGGACTTTCAGGAGGCACCATCATAGACAAGGTGGCATCAAAGGCTCCCCTGGCAGAGCTAGGCACATAGTAGGTAGTGTCAGGAGACCACTCTCTGCCTTCCACAGCCCTCCAATTACTGTCCTCAGAGGTCCAGAAGGTACTAGGCTCCATCCTAGGGACACTGAGGATTATCCTCAGATGAATGGTGGGTCTTTACAGTGTAATGTGAATGCTGTCACATCCCCTAAGTGAGACAAGGTCAGGACACCCTCACAGTGCCCTGGGAAGCAAACACCATCACTCCCTTTCCACTGAAGGAAGCCGAGGCTCAGAGAGGTAAAAAGGCTTACCTAGTGACAGACAGCTTCTAAGTGGCAGAACTGGGGTTGTGACCCAGGCATGAAGGACCCACTTCCCCAGTCCCACCTCTACAGCGAACTGTACCAGGGATCCCAGGGCTTAGATGGTACATGTCTCAAGAGGGAAATAGCTGTTGGCTGAAGGGGCAGAGAACTTGAACTCCAGGCAGGTTGGGGGCGTAAGGACAGGCATCGCGGGTGAGGAACCATGATCTGGGAATGGGTAGCTAATAGTGACCAGTGTAATTGATTCCAGCTGGAAAGAGGGTTACAGGGCCTGCCCTGGGCCTGACACCCTCCTGTCTCCTTTTTTCACAGTGAACTTGCTAGACACATCAACCATCCATGGAGACTGGGGCTGGCTCACATATCCAGCTCATGGGGTAAGTGATGAAATAGTGTCATCCTTCTGAGGCAGAGGTTGGAGTTCAGAGTCTTAGCATCATACAGATCAAAAGGAAGCAGAGGCCAAGAGAGGTGAAGGAGTTTACTCAAGGACACATGACAGTGGGAGACAGAATAGATGGTTCTAAACAGTTCAGTGGACTGGGACTTTTGGAATCACAAAACCGGCTCTGGCCCTGGGCCCCTGATTCTTGTGTAAGACCCTCATTTTGAGTATCCTCGAGTCTGCATGCCAAACCTGCTGATTTACAGCTTGTGAAGTTCAGGCCCAGGGTAGCTGGGTCCATGGTAACAGGAAATGGATGGTAAAATCCCAGCCAGACCTTCCTCCATTCAGGCTGGGTCCCCTTCCTCTGGTTGCCAGGCCTCACCAGGGGCTGCCTGTACCCAGGAGCCCTCTGTCCCTGATAGACTAACCTGGAGCATAGCGGTCCACTGTGGCAAGCTCACAGGCCCCATGTGGTCTCCAGATGACTGTGAGCCCAGCCCACCACCTCAGGGCATGGGCTCCAGTAATGAGGCTGAACAGTGGTGACTTCTGTTGTCTTTGCCAAATCCCACAGGCATCATATAGTAAAGGTGAGTTGGATGTCTGGCAGGACCTTGGTCACCACCTCACCTCTGTGGGCCTTGGTTCCCCTGCCTGTAGAAAAGCAGGAGTATGCATTGACCTTTTAGGCTTCTTTAGGGGATTGGGGGCACTGGTGCTGGCACTACACAGTGAGCCCTCTACAGTGGTGAGCACTGTTACTAGTGTGTGTTGTGGTTGTGTCTCATGTAAGAAACACACAGGCATGTACATGCATCCCGGTGCTCAGGACAGACATATACAATGACTGCTTCCAACTTCCATGGCTCTGGGGACAGGGGCTAGCTTGTCCTAATGATGGCAATGGAGGCAAGAGTTCATGCCTAGAAAGGGAGTTGTTCATGATTTCAGATAGGTTTTCATCCAGGACCTTTAGTAGGCTGTGCCTGAGGGTCAAGATGGAGCCCTGCTCTCCCTCTGTGGGATCTCCTCGCAGGCAGCAGTGGGCTGAGCTACAGCCATCAGCCCTTGGGCACAGGGCTCCAGGAGCTGGCAGGGCTTGCCCTGAGGTCCCCAACTCACAGACAGAGCTGTATCCTGGACAGCTCCCCTTCTGAGGACAGAGACTAGGTGTTCGCCCGGCTCTGGGAAGTGCTACTCTGTGTAGCTGTCCTTGGGTGTGGAAGGACCTGTGACAGGAGCCTGCCTGTGGAAGACTCCAGGAGATGCCTGGTCCATACTGACTGCCCAGCTGCTGACTGAACTGGCATCTCCCATGGGTCCTAGCTGCTAGAAAGAGGCGGTCCTGGCCCCAGGTGAGCTCTGGGTGTTGGTGTTGCCCCAGTGCCGAGGACTTGGTGTTTGGGGTTACGAGCACCTCTGACTTGGTTTAGGGAAGCTCATGCCTAGTGATGGAAGCATCTGTGGTTCATGGGATGCCAGGCATGGTGCAGTGTCCTCTTGTCTTTTTCGGAATTTAGAGCAAATAATGGCAGCACCTCCAGCTCACCTCACCCCACAATCAGTCTTTATAGGAAGGGAGGCTGCTGAAGCTCGGGGCAGCAAGGGACCCTGCTATGGTGGTGAGCAGGACTCAAACCCAGGGTCCTTTGGGCATGGAGCCTACATGAAGGCCCATGTGCACCTTTAGTGCTCAGGACTCCTCTGCCCTCTCTGTGAGGGGTGGGGGATGGTCTGTGCTGCCTGCTGAGCCAGGAACCAGCTTGGCCTGGAGCTGCAAAGAGAGAAAGGGGCGTGTGATGCCTGAAGCTCAGCCTGGCCGGCAGAAGAGTGCTCACATGCTCCCATCCAGGGCCCTGGTCTGTAGAGGAGCTGGTCTGTGAGTCTCTGTCCAGCCCTTTATTTGGCAGCCTGCTCAGCAACTGTCTGGCTGGGCTTAGCCTTGGAGGGACTGCCTGGGTGAAGGAGAAGAACAGCTCAAGGCAGGTGTGCTGGACTCCAAGGAGCCAGGCTGCTTCCTCTGACCAGTGAGACTGCACGGGCCACTCAACCTTGCCTCAACCTCTTCATTTATAACGGGATAATAGTAGAGGATGCTCTGTGCAGTTATGCACAGAAAGGGCATTTGACAATAAGAAGCCACTCTGTGAAGCCTAGACCTCATGCCCTTAGTCAGGCTGCATCTCTCCGAGCTCTGCCTCTACTAGGACGTCCTGCACCTTGCTTGATAAATGAACAGCTGGAATGCACCCTGCCTAATGGGAGAAGGCACATTCCTGTCCACATCTCCCTTGACCCTCACCAGTCCCTGGAGTAGCTGGAAGGAGCGGATGTTCATAGATGAGATGCCTACGGCTCAGAGAGGGACTGTACTGTACCCAGGGCTGCACAGCTCCTTTGCTGTATTGTTTCAAAAAGAGGACAGGGTCAGGGATAGTGTGCAGGGTCAGCTGCCAGGCTTCACAGGCAGCTGGAGAGGGGGTGACCCCCACGTGGAAACTGGGCCAATTCTGCCCTTGCCCTTGATTCTAGGCGTTTGTGGCAGGGTTGGGCCAGGCTGTTGGCACTGGTGGGGTGGCTGGAGCAGACTTGGATCAAGCTGATTAATCTATCTAGGCCCCTGGCAGGAAACAGACAGGGAGCAGCTGGTGGGCTCTTTGGTGTTCCATTAATTGTGACAATGACTTTAACCCCAGATGTGGCACAGTGGACAGCAGCATGGAGTGTGGGTCAGCAAGCATAAACTCTCATAGGTGAGGCTGCACTCCCAGGGGCCCTGTGGGCAAGGGCCTCACCCCCACCCCCAGCTGGTTGTGCAGGCATGCAGGCAGGCAGGGGACTTGCTGGCAGGCCAGCAGCACATCCGTGCCCCATTCATTGAACTCTTCACTCTGCAGGCCTCTCCAGCCGTGTGGAGATGGGCCAGCCTGGAGATGCTAGGGGTGGAGGCCACATGGATGGCAGGGATGAGGCCAGATGGAGGGATTTGTGACAGGCAGGAAAGGATTTGGGGCACTCAGGACCCCCACTGTAGCACTCATGGAGCAAGCTCAGAATCCTGCAGATTCTTGGATATCAGGAGGAGGGGGTCTTCAAATCCCTCACCTGGCATTGAGGCAATAGGACCCTTAGATCCCACAGAGCAGAGAGAAAATCATAGAGCCAGACACAGCCATCTGCTTTTAGCCCTGGCAATTCTTTGGGTTCTCTGGACTCAGCCCAGTGTCTGCTTCTGGCCAGGGCCAAGTGGTGATGATGGAGATGGTGGTGGATGCTGTGGATATGGTGGTGGGTGCGGTGGACATGGTGGTGGAGAAGGTAGATGTGGATGTGGTCATGGAGGTGGAGGTGATCATAGTGGAGGTGGTGGACATGGTGGTGGTGGCGGATGTGGTGGTCTAGGAGGTAGACATGGGGATGTGGTGGACATGGTGGTAGAAGTGGTGGAGGTGGTGATGGTGATTGTGGTGGTGGTGGTAGAGGTGGTGGACGTGGTGGTAGTGGTGGTGGAGGAGGTGGTGGAGGTGGACGTGTTGGAGGAGGTGCATGTAGTGGATATGGTGGACATGGTACTAAGGATGGGGACAGAATCCGGGCCCTTAAACATGCAGACCAAGCACTCTACCACGGACCCCCAGCTCCAGCTCGCTTCCTTCTTATTGTGCTAAAACACATAATATAAAATGTACCGTCATAGCCATCCTCACCATACAGTTCAGTGGCGTGATACACTTTCATATTGTCATGTGATGGTCACCACCATCCGCTTTGCCCATCTGCAGAACTCTTTTTATCTTTGCAGCCAGAATTTTGCACCCACCAACAGTAATAGCCAACCTTCCCCTCTGGAAGCCTCTGGCAAGCACCATTCTGTTTCCAATCTCTGCGGCTCTGACTGACTGAGGGGCCTGATGTAGGGGGGATGGGTCGAGGCAACGTTGCTTCCTTTGTTTGGGGCCTATTTTGTTTAGCATACTGTCTTCAAGCTCACTTATGGGGCTTAGAGCTGGGTCAGTGGGTAAGGGTGCTTGCTGTGTAAACCCGAGGACCCGAGTTTGAATCCCTAACACCCACATAAAAAGCCAGGTGTGGTCACATGTGCACCTGAAACTGAAGCACTAAAATGAGGGACAGAGACTGAGGATTGATTACTGGGACTCACTAGCCACCAGCCTAGCTGAAAAACGGTGAGCTCCAAGCTCAGTGGGAGACCCGTTCCAAGAGAAAGAGATGGAGGACATCATAGAACAGTTAAAGAGAAGACCTGTCTTCGTCTGATCTGTATGTGTACATGGTAGAACACATCACCCACCTACCCCCGAGTGTGCACACACACACACACACGAGAGAGAGAGAGAGAGAGAGAGAGAGAGTAACTCACCCATGTCTAGCATGTATCAAAAGTCCATTTCTTTAAGTCTGAATACTCCTCCACTGTGTGTATATGCTGTTTATTTGTCTGTTGGTGGGCATGTAGGTTGCTTCCATTTTTCAGCTACTAGGGGTTTTTATGTGTTTGTGGTTCTGGAGATCAGTCCCAGGGTTTGCCACATTCAGGGCAAACGTTGTACCCCTGAACAGCACACCCGCTGCTCATGCATGCCATGAGCCTGGGTATACAGATATCTTGTCAAGTCCCCAATTTCCCTTCTCTGGGGCATACACTCAGAACCACTGGGTCATGTGGTAATTCCGTTTTGATTTTTAAGGACCTTGCCATGCCGCTTTCCATAGCATCTGCCCTTTCTGCATCCTGCCAGCAATGCACAAGGCTCTTGTGCCTGTCACACCACCATCAGCATGTGCTGCTGCTGCTTCTCCTCCACCTCCTCCTCCTCCTCCTCCTCCTCCTTCCCTCCTCCTCCTGCTCCTCTCCTCCTCCTGTTCCTCCTCCTGCTCCTGATCCTCCTCCACCTCCTCCTTCTCCTCCTCCTCCTGCCCCTCTCCTCCTCCTCCTGCTCCTCTTCTCTTCCTCCTCCTGCTCCTCTCCAACCTCCTCCTCCTCCTCCTTCTTTCCTCTCCTCCTCCTCCTCCTCCTCCTCCTTCTTTGTATTTTATTCCTTTTTTACGTTTTCTTTTTGGCACTTGCTCTTTTCTGTTTAAATATCTAACTGGTATGGAGTGGGTTCTCACAGTGGGGTTGATTTGTATTTCCCCAGTGGGTAGCAATGCTGACTGTCTTTTCTTGTGTTGTTTGGCCCTCTGTTCCTTCTTTCCTCTCCTCCTCCTCCTCCTCCTCCTCCTTCTTTGTATTTTATTCCTTTTTTACGTTTTCTTTTTGGCACTTGCTCTTTTCTGTTTAAATATCTAACTGGTATGGAGTGGGTTCTCACAGTGGGGTTGATTTGTATTTCCCCAGTGGGTAGCAATGCTGACTGTCTTTTCTTGTGTTGTTTGGCCCTCTGTGTATCATCTTTAGAAAAATGCTCAAGTCCTTTGTTCGTTTTTTAATTGGGCTGTTAGCTTTCTGTTGCTGGGTTGTAGTTCTTTCTTTAGTCTAGATATTAACGCCCCACCTGATACACAGTTGCAGTTTTCTTCCACTTACTGACTGTCTTTTTGCTCTGTGAAGAGTGCCTGGTTTACTTATTTCTCTTATCAGGCCAGAACCCTATATAAGCAGCCAGGCTTAACTTTCCCACACTCTCCTTCTGGCTTCAGTGGGGCCTAGGGCAGCTCTAGAGTCCCCAGCCTTGTGTAGATGGGACAGATGACCCATCTACACACTGAGCTATAGCTCAGTTGGTGGAGTACTTACTTAGCATGCATGAAGCCCTGAGTTCCAGCCTCAACACCCCATAAACTAGACAGACCTATAATCCCAGCACCCAGATGATAGGACAGGAGGAGCAGAAGTTCAAGGATGTCTTTGACTACATAGTGAGTTTGAAGCCAGCCTGGGCTACCCTGTCTAAACAAACAAACAAACAGTCAGTCAGTCAGCAAGGCAGAGGGAATAGTTGATCAGACATTCAGTCAGCAAGCAGCTAAGCAGAAGGGGCTGGTGAGGATCTGAGGTGGGGTGCAACCCAGTGCCACTGCTTCCTGACTGGAGGGATCCCTCTAACTGCTCAACAGGAAACTAGATTTGCCCACTTCTCCTGGCAAATCCCCTCACCCTGGGAATAATGGGAAAAACCATGCAAAAACAGGTCAGAGCCTAGGCAGCAGACAGGCCTGATTCCCCGTGGGCTCTGGCTCACTGCCCACTGAGAGAGAAGCCCTCTCCTGTGTTTTCTCTGGGCACCTGTGTTGAGGCGTTGGCAGGAGAGGGCAAGGCTCAGCCTCTACCTTAGTGAACTGTGTTCTCTCTGCCACAGTGGGACTCCATCAATGAGGTGGACGAGTCCTTCCGGCCCATCCACACGTACCAGGTGTGTAATGTCATGAGCCCCAACCAGAACAATTGGCTGCGTACCAGCTGGGTGCCCCGGGATGGTGCCCGGCGTGTCTACGCTGAGATCAAGTTCACCCTCCGTGACTGCAACAGCATGCCTGGTGTGCTGGGAACCTGCAAGGAGACCTTCAACCTCTATTACCTGGAGTCGGACCGTGACCTGGGTGCCAGCACACAAGAGAGCCAGTTCCTCAAGATTGACACAATCGCGGCCGACGAGAGCTTCACCGGTGCAGACCTGGGTGTGCGGCGACTCAAGCTGAACACAGAGGTGCGTGGCGTGGGCCCGCTTAGCAAGCGAGGCTTCTACTTGGCTTTCCAGGACATTGGTGCCTGCCTCGCAATCCTCTCTCTCCGCATCTACTACAAGAAGTGCCCAGCTATGGTGCGCAACCTGGCGGCCTTCTCAGAGGCAGTGACTGGGGCCGACTCGTCCTCGCTGGTGGAGGTGAGAGGCCAGTGTGTGCGGCACTCAGAAGAGCGTGACACTCCCAAGATGTACTGCAGCGCCGAGGGCGAGTGGCTGGTGCCCATTGGCAAGTGCGTGTGCAGCGCTGGCTATGAGGAACGGCGGGATGCCTGTATGGGTGAGCACACCTCGAGACTGGCCTGGTTGGTGGGCATAGGGTGCCTCTGCCTGGGCAGGGCTGGTGATGTGGGATATGTCATCTCCTACCATCTGGCTCAATGTCTGCAGATGCATATGGGGCATCAGTGTGCATGGGGGAGGGAAAGGGAACAGTCAGGTGGTCCTCCTGGTGGACATTGTCAAAGGCACCTGTGTGATGGCATCTGTGGGGCACTTACCTAAGTGAAGGAATAATACCACACACTAACTCGCACACTTTGTTCAAGGTGCTTTGCATGTGTTAACTCGTTCAATCCCTGTCACCACCCTATGAAGCAGAAGCTATCCTGGTTTGGAAGGTGCACACAGTGAAGCACAGGGAAACAGGTCAACTTGCCCGAGGCTACGCAGCTGAGCAGTGGCAAAGCTAGAACTTGAACTGAGAACTCGGGCTGCAGACTTTGAGCAGAGAATCACCAGCTTTCCTCATGTGTGAGGTGGAGGGCAGTGCAGCCAGGATTCTCTGGATGAAGGAAGTAAGGAAGGGGGCGTTTTGAAGGCATGCAGGCAAGGCCACCCAGGGAGGAGTTTGTATTGGTCTGTTACACTATCCCAGACCCAGGCAGCCTGTGTTTGGGGAACTTGTCCAGGGGTCCTGTGGGGGAGGACAGGCAGAGTTCTGCTGGGAACAGCTGAGTACCTGAGTGTATTGAAACTAGGAGCAATCTGTAGGGGAGACCCAGGCTGTGTGCTTGTGTAGATGTGTGGTCTGTGAACTTCATGTGGGGCCCTACAGTCTGGCATACTGAGAGCAAGCTGGGGGAGCTCTGCTGGGAGCGTCGGGTAACACAGCTGGTGCTGGGCTCAGCCTGGTTTTCCCTTGCCCTTCTGGGATTCCTCAGGGACTGGACATGGCCCCTCTGTCACCAGGGCACAGCGAAGCCTGGCTGTGAAGTTGATTCCCTGGCTTCAGAGGGGCTGGGGAGGGACCTTCCTAGGTAGCAGTCTTAGAGGTTGGAGCCTGTCCTCAGACACCCTGCAGAGACTGGCACTGTGTCAATCATCACCAGAGTAACCCTTTACTTCAATCATGTAGGTCTGGGGCTACAGTTGGGACATGACCTCTAGTCCCTTTAGCACCCTCCCTTTGCCCCTAACAGGCAGGAAAGGTCCCTTGGTGCTGATGGGCAGAGCAGGGCGTGGGCTGAGCATCCTAGATGATACTCAGGTCCTGGCCATCAGGGTCCAGCTAGAAGTATCTGACCCAAAGATCTCCCAGACCAGGTTCTCCCTCTGCAGCCTCGTCCCATCCCTCCCCTGAGGCTCAAAGCCTTTCTTAAACCTTCCTTCTTGCCCTCAACTGTCACATATCTTCATCTGCTCTCACCCTAAATTGCCAAGCACCCTCTAGGGTACCCACCTGTCTGTGGTTTGTTCCATTAGTATGTGTCCAGAACGACAGCCACTCTCATGCTCTGTCACAGACATCCTGTGTCTCCCAGCTTGTGGCCTGAAAACTCTAACCACCACCCAGCTGCCTTTGTATCCTGGCTCCTCCCAGGGCCTCTTACTGGTCCACTGAGGAACGCAGGTATCGTAGGTGCATCTCAAGGCCAGAGAAAATATGGGTGAGGGGAGGTGTCACCTTCTCAGCCCCTGTGCTGGTAAGAGGTGGCTTTGGAACCTGAAGTCAGGTCTGTGTTGTTTTAACCAGGAGATGGAAGCTTGACCTGGCCCTGTCCACCTCCCCCGCAACATCAGCATCTTCCCCTGCAGGGCTGACCCCACATTCAGGTGGGGGGAATGCTTTGCCTCAGTGGCAGTATTTCCAGTATACCCTTAACACTTAGGTCAGTTACTCATACACTGAATACTTGTGTGTCTGGGCATGGAGGTCCAGGAAGGGGAATCCCTGCCTTTGGGGAGTTCATGCATTCCCATTTTTACAACAGCCCTTAGTAAGGTGCCATGCCCACAGTTTGCACATGAGACAAACTGAGGCCCCCACATATAAATAGCACAGTGGGTCTGGTCCCAGGCTACTTCTCCTTCTGTCCACAGAGCCCTTCTTTCATATTCTGGTGGCTAGCGACAGGTACCATAATGACCAGGCAGGCTAGCCAGTGACACCCACTCAGGGCAGCTGTGGCTCCCAGTTCCAGATGGCACCAGAAAGTACAAATACTCCAGTTGTTGGTCCTACAAGCATCAGGATACACTGGGCTGCAGGAGGGCTTCGGAAACCCCCTTTTGGCAGAAGTGGGAAGTGAGGCAGGGCAAAGCTCTGGGTGGGGATTCCTCTGTGGCTAGGAAAGGCCAAGGCCGAGCCCACTGCCTGCTGCTGCCAGCCCATTAATAAAAAATAACAAAGACACGCAAGGCAGGGTTAGGGAACTGCAGCATGTTTTGAGTTTTACATTTAAATCATAATACAGCATAATTATGCTAGTTGCAAGATAATTACAGGTTTTATAAAAAAAATAAATAACAGTTCACAGTACACCGCAGGCAGAGAGATGGGGATGGACTGCGAGTTGGAGTGGCACATGGAGGGACATTCCTCAACCCTGCTGGTGGCATCTGTGACACCCCCTGTCACCCCGTTTGGAAGGAGCAGCACAGGATCCTAACTGGGGCCCTCACAGGGTGCCAGACCAGAAGCCTTTCAGGTCCCCATCCCTCAGCCCCTCCTCCACGACAGCTTAGGAGAGGGCAAATGGGACCAAGCAGGAGCTGGGAGTGGCATGGGGCCTTCCTGGCCACTCGGGACAGCCTTACGAACGTCACTGGTGTCTCTGTGATCCTCTGTTCTCTAGGGCCCCCTGGACAGTCCAAGAGCCCCCTGCTCCCTTCTGGGCAATTCTAAGCAAACAGATGAGAGGAAGGCTAGAAGAGAGGTCCTGCTGTCCAGCCTTGAGTCCCCTTCCTTCCCATGGAAACAGAAGGGTCTGGAGTCTTGAGATCTGTATCGGTGCTGGGCATGGTACAGACTTCGTCATCCCACCTCTGGGCATCCTGAGAGTCTCCCAGAAGGTGGCTGGCAACCCTGCGTTCTGTATCTGAAGACTGCAAACTCCAGAAAGGCTAAGTCAGGTCATCTGGCTTTTCAGAGGCCTGGCTGTGATTGCTGTTAGGCCTCAGAGACCTATGGGAAAATGCTGGAGCCACAGTTTAACAGAGATAGCGGCCCAGAGAGGTAAAAGGACTGGCCCAGGGGCACAGAGTAAGGTTTGACGGGTGGGCCTCATGTCTCCCAAATCTGAGCAACAAGCTCCCAGTTCCAGACTCAGTGACCTCCCTAGTCACTTGCTGTCACTCCTTCCCTCTACCAACTCCCAGGAAGAGGAGTGCTCTTAGAGCATCACCCCCAGAATGGCAGGGGGAGCCTGAAGCCCAGCAGTCCTAGCCACCACCGTCCCCATCACCTGGACGCAGAATGTAAATCACCCTTGGGGGCCCTAATCATTTTTCTATAAATATCAGAGGCTCATTCGGAGGCGAGCAGGAACAACGAGCTCTTTTGCCTTCCTGCCTGTGTTTAAAATCTGATTTAGAATTAATTTCCTTTGATCGTCCACAGGCGGACACCTTATTTGTCAAACCTCAGCCTTCACGCGGGGGAGCAAAGAGGTGGCCGAGGCCACAGGCAGCTGCCAGCCTGACAGGCGGCCTGGGCAAGGTGCCCTCGGCAGGTCAGTGGCCCCTCCTGGCCCACGGCCTGCAGCTCTGGCCCTCAAATACTCCGGAAACACCCTGGGTCATCAGGCAAGACCAGGCCCCGGCCCGGAGCGCCTCCATCTGTCCCAGCTACTAATTCCCAGCCCAGCCTCCAGGATTCAAGGCTCCCTGAGGCCTGGTGATTAGTATTCTTATTAAAGATGATTTTATTTTCACCGCGTGGATTAATCTGGCCTTGACACGTGATAGCCATATGGGTATTAGCGGAGCAGGAGGGAACTGCCTACTGGTGAATGACAGGAAGACATGGCCACCTCTAAGTTCAGGGGGCCGAGGAGAGCCGGGTGGGGGCCAGGCTGGACGGTCCCCACCTGGCTTCGTGTCATCCCTGGCTGGGAAATCAGGCAAAGCACCAAAACCCTCTGAGGCTGTTTCCTCTTCTGCCAAGAGGTTATGTAGGGAGTGTAGCACAGTGACAAGAGTGCTCCTGAGCCTGTGGAGGGTCCTAGGTTCCATCCTCAGCACTCAGAGAGAGTAAGAAGAAGAGACAGACAGACAGACAGGAGGCATGCATCCAAATACAGCAACCATGTCAGGTACTCCCTGATCCTGAATCGAATCCGCTCATGTGACCCTTACTACAGCCCCAAGGTGGCACTCTTGCTGTTCCCATTTGACAGATAAAGAAACTGAGGTCCAGTGCTGTGCCTCATGTCACTTAGCCCAAATGAAGGGTTAGGCCAGAAAGGGACCCAGTCACTCCCCAGTGTCCCCTTACCTCCTGAAGACTGGATGGGCTGCTGACAGCCAAAGACTTGCTGATGGCTGTTGCAAGGTTGTCACCTTGTGCGTCCTTAGTGCTGTGCCACACTAGGTGACCCTTCAGGCTTACTTGTCTGTTTGTTGGTGCTCTAAAAGTTGTCTGGACAGAACCAGCTCCTCTGCTCCAAGTCCCTAGGGGAAGGGCAGGGGGTTGGGGCATGAATGGAGGAGGAACAACACACCACGTGGGCCTGGAGGTCGCAGCAGAGTGTCTGTTACAGCAGTGAGATCACCTTTGTTCAGCACACCCACAGGTCCAGCACAGAGGTGCTGAGGACTTGCATACTTCGTGCTGACTGAGCAGCCTTGACGGCTTCCAGCGTCCCCAAGAGCCTGGCACCTGGCTGCACCCCAAGAAAGGCCTCTGTTCCCTGAGCCCAAACACAACTAGTCCTGAACCTTCTTGGAGTCCTTTAGAATGGAGCAGGTACCTCAAAACAGGGGCACAGTGTCCCCTAACCGCACAAACATTGAGGTCTTCCAGCCCAGCAGTCCCAAGCCTCTAAAGACGCTAAGGGTCATCATTTCCCTGGGCTGTCGGTTTTCTGACAAGTCTGCAGAGTTTTAGAAATTAGCCTGATTTTAGCTAGCGTAATAAAGAGATCTGATCAACACCCAGAGATGCAGTGCTCTGAAATGATGTTTTTAAATAAGACTTCTCAGGAGGATTGACTTTTCTGGAATGGGATTTAGTGTAGAGCGAATACCACTGCTGACCCTGTGACCAAAGGCTTCAGCTCTGACAACAGAGCTGGGCACATCCTGGCTGTGTGGCCTTGGGTCCTTCCCCTGGACCCTCCAGGGCGAGTCACATAGCTTCTGCTCTGGGCCATGTGCTGGGGGTTTTGAATGGATCCCAGAAGAGGAATTCAGCAGGTGGGTAAGGGAGAAAAAGACATCCTGGGAAAAAGGTCTAGCAAGTGCCAATGCCCTGAGGCCTGCAACGTGTGAGGAATGACCAGGTCTTCGGTCTAGCCTGAGCATGGGATGAGGTGGTCTTTGGCTTGACTGTGGATGTCAGGGGTGCTTGTTTAGAGTCCCAAGGGGTTGGTCAGGCAGGCAGGGCCACCAAGGGGCAGAGTAAGATCCCCTTAACCTGCCTGACCTGTTCTTGCCTTCCAGAACTCATATATTCCCTCCTCCTTGGGAAGGGCTCCTACTACTGTTCTTTGTGACTCCCTCGCCCTCCTTTCCTCCTGAGCGTGATCTGGTCTGTGTTTGCTATGCATTTCCCAGTTCAACATGTCAGCCCGAGATGTCAGGGTGTGCAGCTCCATTTAGGACAGAGTCTCCCGCTGCTAAGCGATCTGACTGGCAGCTGGGTGTGGGAAGGCAGGCAAGGCTGGAGGCTGCCACTGTTGTTAGGTGACAGGTGAAGCAGGTGGCTGCTGTAGCAGAAAGGGTCAATCAGAAGACAAGCCTCTGGCAGCAGAGATGACAGGGTGGCGGGTCTTGGGGCAATAAAGCCTGTATTTTCTTTCTTTTAACCAAGGAGCTTTCGAAGCAGAGAGTACCAGGCCCCGGCCAGGGGCATTGCTAACCTGGGGTCTGCAGTGGGGCTAGGAAGATGGCTGTTATGGGGAGGCTCCTTATCTGTCCAGGTCTGGGCCTTGTGCGAATTTGTCCTCACAACCTCCATTTCTTTTATATCACCCGTCGCACCCATCATTTTGACCCCACTTTGATTCCCAGCTGCTTGGCCCCTGTCCCTATCATTGTCCCTTGTAGGACAGACTCTGAGGCTGAGGAGGGTAGGTGGAGTCTTGGGGTGCCAACTTTGAGACTGGAACACACATCAAGGTCCTAGCCCAGCTCTGCCCCTGGCATGCTCTGCAACCCTGTGGAAGTCACACACCCTGTTCATGCTCTGTCCCTCCATCTGGTCAGCAGGAGAGCAACACATGGTGGCAGCTCTGTCCCTCCAGGACCCCCAGTTCACGGGGAGGCCCACCCCAAGACCTTCCCCTGCAGCTGCCTTTTCCTCCACAGCCTGTGAGCTGGGCTTCTACAAGTCGGCCCCTGGGGACCAGCTGTGTGCCCGATGCCCACCCCACAGCCATTCTGCAACACCTGCTGCCCAGGCCTGCCGTTGTGATCTCAGCTACTATCGTGCAGCCCTGGACCCACCATCTGCAGCCTGCACCCGTGAGTACTGCTTGGTCACAGCTCCCCTGCTAGGATCCAAGGGGCTCAGGAACCAGGTGTCTGTGGATGGAGTAAGGGCAGTTTGGGGTTGGGGACTCTGACTCCTCAGCACTGAGCTTGACCTCTCTGGAGTCTAGTTATGGTTCCCTGCCATCTTCCTGGGGACATCTTTCCATCCTTCCCTCAGTCTCTGTCTTCTCTGGAAGAAACATTCAAACTGGGCTCCTGTGTTCCTTGGCACAGGGTGACGTTGGTCATCTTCTGGCAGCAATGCCAATGTCCTGGGGCTAGGTGGGCAGGCCCTGGTGCTCAGAAGGGTGGGAGTCAGAGCAGCATCCCCACCTCCCCATCATTCTAAACCAGACAACAGGAGCTGTGAATGCTGGAGGCTGCGTGTGTATACATGTGTGGGCGTGTGTGTATATGTGCGTGTGTGTATGTGTACGTATATTGGCAGCTGCTCCCACAGATGTTGCCTTTGTGCCTGCATGTGAGTGTGCAATGTGCACTTGTACTCGTGTGTATGAAGGATTCTCAGGTAGATATAAGACACAGGACACCCGAAGGACTTCTGAGCTTGAGCAAGCATATTGTGTGAGCTCAGCATGTCCACGCCTACAGGTAAGAATGTGCCTGGAGTGTGTGTGTGTGTGTGTGTGCCCTGAAGGACTCTGAAGGACATGGGACTGTCTTGGCACTGCTGCTGCTCCTTGGTTTTGCCCCCACCCACCAGGACTGCTCAGCCTCCTCCAGCCTGAGGCTTAGCATTCACCAACCCCTGTCGTCACAGCCTGCTTCAGAGGGCCCCAACTGATTTTACCTTGAAATTGCTGCAGCCACAAACCGTCCTCCCTTGCCTCTCTCCATCACCACCCAGCCCCAGGCTTCCTGCACAGGCGGCCCAGGGCTTGAGGGTGCTCACACCCATATGTGCCATGGGCACACACGTACCATCCTAAGACCATGAGACTGGGAATCTAAGGTCCTAAATTTTCAGCTTGGAAATTCTTCTCCGTAGACTGCAAGAGCTCAGGGTTCTGAGAGTGCACATCTGGTCTCTCATGGCCAAGATTCTCAGCCTGGCATTGTGAGCCCTGGGGTCCCCTACTTTGTACCTCCCCAACTCAACTGCTGTGGGAAGTCTACACAGCCATATCAACTCCCTGCCCCTCTATCCAGACTCTGTGCTGCTCAGCCTGAGGCCTTATGTGCCAGGGGTAAGGCAGGGCTGCATGGTGCCCACAGCCTGGTGGATACACAGCAGACTTCCTGGGCCACACTTTGTCCCACGGCGAATGCAAGGTGGCATTTTGCATTAGCACAGCACAGGGGTGTGGGAATGGAGGCAGAGTGGATATGATCAAGCATTCCACACACAGCATGGCTGCTGTGGGTCCTTCTGGCTCTGAATGGGAATTGTGGGAAACACATCCCATGGAGGTTCACGCTCCTGTCTCAGGTACCCTGGGAACTTCTGATGGATAAATTGGATGTGACCTCTTAGTTAAGGGGCAGATATGATGGGGAGCCTGGGCAAGTGCCACCCCCATCCATCACCCTCTCTCCCAGGCCCACCCTCGGCACCAGTGAACCTGATCTCCAGCGTGAATGGTACATCTGTGACTCTGGAGTGGGCCCCTCCCCTGGACCCGGGTGGCCGCAGTGACATCACCTACAATGCTGTGTGCCGCCGCTGCCCCTGGGCCCTGAGCCACTGCGAGGCATGTGGGAGCGGAACCCGCTTCGTGCCGCAGCAGACAAGCCTGGCACAGGCTAGCCTGCTGGTGGCCAACCTGCTGGCCCACATGAACTACTCCTTCTGGATTGAGGCCGTCAATGGTGTGTCCAACCTGAGCCCGGAGCCCAGAAGTGCAGCTGTGGTCAACATCACCACGAACCAGGCAGGTAGGCAGAGCAGCCCTGGGGGCCCCCAGCCACCAGAGCCCAGCTGTGGACTCACTGTGGGCTGTTGGGCAAGGCACTGCCTCTGCTGGCTCTGCCTTCCCACTAGGACCTGAGTAGAGGCTCTTTGTGCCTGTAGGAAAGCAGAACACATCCTGTGAGCAGGAGAAACCTAGAAAGCACAGTCTCCCTTAGTGGGTCATAAGACTGGGTTCCAGAACTTTCCATGTCTGTATCTCTGATTCATTCCTGGCACATGGGCTTTGTGCATGCTAGACAAGCTCTGTACCAGCTGAACAACATCCCCAGCACTACCCCAAGCCCCAGGTATCATCACTTTAACACCCATTTTCGGAGCAGCATTGCTGCCCGGGTGGATTTGGTGTATTGGGATCAGGACTGTTCACCTACTTCTGGCCAGTTGGGCTGAATTCAGCTCTTAGAGGCTTTTTCTTTCCAAACTCTGGTGGGTCTTGCCTGTCAAGTGGCAGCCTGACCTAAAAGTCATGTGGGGGCTGGAGAGACAGCTTCCCATGAACATTTCCAGGACCCCAGTGCTCCTCCCTACTATTCCCTAGCACACAAGCCTGGCTCAGAAAGATACCCTTTGCCACCACGTAGAAAGTGTGATGGCTCAGTGACATCTGTCCAGGAGATGCCCTTTTCACCCTGCCCTCCCATCCTCCTTCAATATTCAGGAATAGCAGACCTGAGCCCGGAGCGCAGAGCCCTGCCCTGCCACCTATTAACAGGGCCACAAAGGCACGTGGCTGACTAGGCCAGAGTAGGGGAAGAGCAGAGAAACCAGCAGCATTTGGGCAGTACCCATGTGCTCCTCCTCAGGAGAAGAAACACACACACACACACACACACACACACACACACATACACACACACACGCACACATAAGCCCATGCATTGTTCCTGCCCACAGGCCTTCTCCTGGCAGAGCCACTCAGTTGAAGCTGCCAGTCTTCTCCCCTCAGCACCCTGGCCACATGCAGCATGCACTCTTCCTATTCTGACCCCCACTCTCCATCTACCTGCCAGCCATCCTTGGAGCAGCTTGCAGGGGCTGAAGGTCTCTAGCCAGATCCCCTCCCCAACCCTTCACACCTCCCCCCACTGCTGTCTCTGTTGGGTCATCTTGCCTGGCTGAAGACCTTGAGTTCCACCTTCAGACAGATAGCTCTCAATTTGGGTCACCTTTGTAGACCTGTTCTCAGGATCCAGCAGAACTCCACCCCTCTCCTACACCCCCCAGGACCCCCATCTCAGGCCACCATTCACTGGGCCACTCAAGACCCAGCCCCATTGTCACCTTTGACTTGTACATGCCATCTCTGACCACCAGCACGTCTCACTGTCTCCCTACACAGGGACCACCTCCACCCTGTGCTCTCTTCTGGGACTACCCAGCAGCCTGTTTCACTCAGCCGTGAATGTTCTGTGCCAGTATCCTGAGTGGGCTTTCTAAAGAGAGATGCCAGGCTGTGTGCAACCCTTGAGAGCTTGAGCTAGGCATTCTTGCAAGTCAGAATTCCCACTTAGGCTTGGCTCCTTCCATCTTCCTGCCCTGTCCCGTGCCTTGTGCTTTGGCCCATACTTTGTAGCCACACTGCCTCTGGTCCCTAACCATGAACTAGGAGCCCTTCCTGACAGTGTCTTGGCCTTGCTTCCCCTGAGGGATGGGACCTCCCCTAACCTGGCCCTGTTGTTCCGTGACTGGTTCCTTCAGTCCTCAGCACAGCAGTTCCCCACTCTGGGCCCACCTTGAGTATGGCAGCTGCAGGGGGTCCAGTTGCTTCTCTCCTCACACTCCTAGCACTGACCCCTGAAACTACCCATCAGCTGGCTTTATAATCTTCCTCCTGGCTCTGAGGTAGATGGCCAGCCCCTGGAGGACTGTCTTGGTCACCACAGCTTCCCGGTGCTAGCTCCATGTCTCCCTATGCCAAGCACCCAGGAGGTGAAGGGGTAAAAGCCCATAGCCCTGAGCTGAGGTCCTCCTGCCTGTCTGTGGCCCTCAGTCCTTCATCTCTTTCCCTGAGCCTTCTGGGCTCTAATGGGCTCCCACACAACCTCACTCATACCTGTCTGTAAGCTTGGGTTGCCCTGCCCCACTCCCAAGGACACCCCATGTCCCTCATCTTCAGGAGACACACCCCTAATCCTCACCCATTCTTGGCAAGTGATGCCCCACCAGCTTCCCTTTACCAGTGGGGAGCCTGAGGCCTGGGCACCACAAGTGACTTAGCCAGAACCCTGGCTGGTGAGAAAGAGCCCACCTCACAGCCACCAGCTCCCACACCTGACTCCCCTATTCCAGGCCTTTCTGTGTGCTCTACAGGGGTTTCCTGATTTTTTGAGTCAGAGTCTCCAGCAACAGCATCTATTGTGTACCAACTGTGTGCAGTCCCTGCCCTCAAGGAGCACTCAAGACACCTGACATAGGAAGAGCTGGCCAGAGGGGCAGGCGGCGGCCTGGGAGTGTAGACAGAGTCAACTAGGGTGAACAGGAGGGAGTGAGAAGCCTGAGGGATGGGGGTGGGGTGGAGACTGGCACCTAGGGGTGGTTCCTGTTTTTGAGACAGTCTCACTCTGTAGCCCAGACTGGCCTTGAATTCACATTAATTCTCCTGCCTCTGCCCTGAGTGCTGGGATTACAGGCAGGAGCCACCATGTCCATCTTGGTTCTTTCTGTTTAGCCTTGGCTGTCTCTGTATGTGACTTCCAAGCAGACTCAAAATAGCACAGGGTGAAGATGAAGCAGAGGGTAGGGAGCTGGGGCACTTCTTGTGTCCAAAGAACCCCTAAACTCAGATGGGCCTGCTCAGAGCATGCCTCTCCCCTTGGGGTCCAGAGCTGTCCAAGACAGGATTCCAGCTCTGGTCTTTCCTCAGTCATACCTGGAGCACCTGCCTCACCTAGGCCTCTGCTGGGGACGAAGGTCCTAGGGCAACCAGGCTTGGCTAAGTGCAGCCAGCTGCCCATCCTAGCCCAGAACTAGATTGTACTGTTGGGCTGGACCAAGAGAATAGCCCAGGAGGCAGCTAGTGACTTGACAAGGCACTAGGGCTGTTGACTATCCTGGAGCAGAGGCAGGAAGGTCAGCAAACTGAGCCAGGAGTCACTGCAGGGCCTGAGCATGGCCCATACTTGGTCTGATGGGCAACTACCATCCTAGCTCCATCCCAGGTGGTGGTGATCCGGCAGGAGCGGGCAGGACAGACCAGCGTGTCACTGCTGTGGCAGGAGCCAGAGCAGCCCAACGGCATCATCCTAGAGTATGAGATCAAGTACTATGAGAAGGTTCGTGAGGTTCCAGAAGGTGGATGGGTAAGGAGCTGACAGGTGAGACCACAGAGACCTATGGCCTCACTGACTTCCCCTCCCCTGGACAGGACAAGGAGATGCAGAGCTATTCCACCCTCAAGGCCATCACCACCCGAGCCACCGTGTCTGGCCTCAAACCAGGCACACGCTACGTGTTCCAGGTCCGAGCCCGCACCTCAGCAGGCTGTGGCCGCTTCAGCCAGGCCATGGAGGTGGAGACCGGGAAACCCCGTGAGTGCAAGGAGCGGGAGGGCAGACAGGGAACCTGTCGCCATGCCAGGCTGAATCCACAGGAACCCTGCTCTCAGTATCCCACCAAGGTGGGAAACTGAGGCTCAGAGAACAAGAGGCACTTACCGAAGGCCACAGAGTGGCTGGCAGCTCCATCACCTGCAGATCTCTCCAGAGACCTCAGTGACGTCCTTGCCAGCAGGTAACCTTACAGGTGTCCCAGGGACATTGCTCAGGGGCTCATGTTCTCCATAGCTTCTAGGAGTCCCTCATGTATATTCTGGGACCTGCAGTGTCTGCAACACCTGAGGGCTTGTCAGAAATACTAGTTCCCAGGCCTGGTACCCTGAATCAGAAACTGAGAACGGGCTCAACAGCCGGGGTTTGCACCAGCCCCAGGGTGACTACATGGGAGCCACTGACCTAGAAGCTGATTTCTTTGCCCACCCCAGGCTCTAGCCACCTGGGTCCTCCTTCATACAGGAAGGAGAGAGTGAGTGCTCACTTGGCACCCCCCAGCACCCGTGTATTCTAAGTGCTCACAGGTCACCTTGAGACAGAAGGTGGCAGTCCTGCCCCCTTCATCTCATTTACTGTATGTTTTCAGGTAAGTTGCTAAAGTTCTCTGAGCCTCAGATAGGCTGTACATACCAACCCCCACTCAGAAGGGCTGAGGAGAGGGTCCTCTGAGGTCTGCAGATGTATCTCTCACCACACTCCGGATGCTGGGAGAGTGACAGGCAGGCAGCCCAGGTGGTTTTCTCTCTTCCCTGGCTCAGAGAAGGACTCTTCTGGCATGCCCAGCTTGCATGGTCCCCAGCAGCAGTGGGAAGCAGGGCAGCCTAGTGCAGGGTGGAGCAGGAACGGAGGGCTGGCTGTTGGCAGAAAAGGGCCTGGCCTGCCCACAGGGCCCCGCTACGACACACGGACCATTGTCTGGATCTGCCTGACGCTCATCACGGGCCTGGTGGTACTCCTCCTCCTGCTTATCTGTAAGAAGAGGTAGGTACTCCTTTGCCCTACTCCTGAGCTCTGCACCCCACTCTGCCCCCAGCCCCACTGAGCCAGTGTGCCCCATGTGCCTGGGTAGACTTACTTATAAATACATTAGCTCATTGTACCCTAGTGAGGTAGAGATTCTGCTGAGAACCTTGGGAACCTGCCAAGGTCACACAGCTGTACCCAGGCCTTCAAAACAGAAATCATAGACTCAGTCTATCTCCCTTCTCTCAGATTGTTCTTGAGGAAGGTGGTAGGATAGTGTTGAGTGTAGGTGTGGGACCCCAGACTGTAAGAATAGGAAGGACCCTCCCACAGATGGAGGAGTCCAGGCCAAGGAAGGTAAGGAGCTTGCCAGGGTGGCCAGAAGAGTCTGGCATGGTCTGTGTGCACCCAGCTGTGTGTGAGGGTCCGCTGCCCTAGGGAAAATTTTGAAGATTAGAATTTTGGGCCATGAGTCAGAGGACAGGGACCCTCCTGCAGGCTTGCTGGTGGCAAAAGCTGACTTGCTGGGGAAGGGGAGAACGGGAGGGGCACCCAAACTTGTCCTCTGAATGGGGTCCAGGCCGGTATGGCCCCAGCAGAGCAGTGACTGTCCCCTGCAGGCACTGTGGCTACAGCAAGGCTTTCCAGGACTCAGATGAGGAGAAGATGCATTACCAGAATGGGCAGGGTGAGTGTGTGGCCCAGGGCAGGGCTGGAGCATCCAGGTGCCCACAAGAAAGGCCGGAAGTCAAGACTGGCCAGCTTACAACTCCCTGGAGGATACCCCTGGCCAGGGAAAGACACAGCTGTGCCCACTCACACAAAGTTTGTGTGTGATTTCCAGGGTGGGAGCTCACACTCTCTTGGACAAGAACCCCTGATGCAGAGAGATTTTCAGGATCCTGTGGTAATCCCAGGAAGCAGGGAAACATGAGGGTACCTCCCTCCACACCCCACTCCATGCTCATTAGTGTCAGCCATAGTGCCCATTCCCCCTGGGCTAAAGGCAGCTTCAGACCTTTCTTAGCAGTCTTCAGGGACCCACCTTCTGTCAAAGTTGACATTTGTAAAATGTTATTTAATGGCATCACCATCCTAAGTGCAATCTTAAGATCTCAAAGACCCTAGAAGTAACCCCAGAAAGCAACAGACATGCTCAGAACTCATTGGAGACCCAGGCACAGAGCTACTTCATAGATGCCCTGCTCTTACTTGCAGAGCAAGCACTTATGGTGTACCTAATGTTTGCTATCATAGTTAGGGATTCCCAGAGACAACCGTTAACTCCCCTAAGAAATGCTGGGAGAGGGAACTTCATTCAGCAGCCACTTAGAGCCCCTTCTTGGCTCCTCAGCACCTCCACCTGTCTTCTTGCCCCTCAACCACCCCCCGGGGAAGTTTCCAGAACCCCAGTTCTATGCAGAGCCTCACAACTATGAGGAACCAGGTCGGGCAGGCCGCAGCTTCACCCGAGAGATTGAGGTGTCCAGGATCCACATTGAGAAAATCATTGGCTCTGGTGAGTCCTGGAGCTTGGAGGAAGGGGGCAGCATGGAGGGGGACCCAGGCAGAGGAGCAGGAGAGAGTGGGGGCCCTGGGGTACCTGGTGCTTGAGGCTGGGGGAAAGCTGGCCCTAGTGGGAGCTGGGTCCAACTGCCTGCCTCTCCTGGGCCCCACAGGGGAGTCTGGAGAAGTATGCTACGGACGACTGCAGGTGCCGGGCCAGCGGGACATGCCAGTAGCCATCAAAGCCCTCAAAGCTGGCTACACAGAGCAACAGCGGCAGGATTTTCTGAGCGAGGCAGCCATCATGGGCCAGTTCGAGCACCCCAACATCATCCACCTTGAGGGTGTTGTCACCCGAGGTAGGTACCGGGCAAGAGTGGCCTCACCCTGTCGGGTGCTCCTACCTATCAGGGATTGGGTCCTTCCCCTAGGTCGTCCTGACCTTGTCCCCACATCTCAGGTCACTGGATGACTCTAGAGAGGCTAGGGGACCCTGATCAGCATCCCTGCCTCCCATCCAAGCCTCCCATCTCCCCTCCCTCCTCCAGGTCGCCTGGCAATGATCGTTACAGAGTACATGGAGAACGGCTCTTTGGATGCCTTTCTGAGGGTGCGTCTGCCCCACTGGCCACAGATCAGGGAGGGTGCATGCCCATCATTGCTGTCCACACAGATGGGGTGTGTCCACCTGCTACCCACACATGGGGGTTCAATGTGGGTAGTGAGAGATAGTAAGCAGGCCCCCAAACCCATCCCAGCTTGCACCCCACATACCAACAAAAGGAGACAGGTATGAGGGGCATCTTAAGGGCCAGGCAATCAAGCTGCCTTCTAGCTCCCACCAGGAAAGTCCCGCTGATACAAGAGCCACGCTTCCCTTCCTCAGGCTAAAGGGTGTCTGTCGGGGTGCCTGTTATACCATGCCACTTGTACCTCCAGCTGGGAAGAAGGGGCTGCATTCCCAACTCTTACTACCAGGAATTCACAGGAGGCTTACAAGCCTGTGACCTAACTTCTCTGGGCCTCCATTTCTCCATCTGCAAATGGGCTACAGCTGCCCCACCGCCTCATGGGAGCCCTGTGAGCTCACAAGAGACCCAAGGAGACAGCTCCAGGGGCAGGTGTAAGCAACAGGACTCTGCCCATTGTGGATTCGCCTCTGCTCTCCAGAGAGTCATTCCTACAGGAGAACCCCCAGCCCTGAGCCGGGTACCATTCTAAAAGCCCATGCCACTCTGTGTCCCCCTGCAGACCCACGACGGGCAGTTCACTATCGTGCAGCTGGTGGGTATGCTCAGAGGAGTGGGCGCTGGCATGCGCTACCTCTCAGACCTGGGCTACATACACCGTGACCTGGCTGCCCGCAATGTCCTGGTGGACGGACGCCTGGTGTGCAAGGTTTCAGACTTTGGGCTCTCCCGGGCTTTAGAGGATGACCCCGAAGCCGCCTACACCACTGCGGTGAGTTGCCTGCACTCTCCCAGGAGCAGAGGGCATGGGCAAGTCTTCACAGCTGTCTCTAAAGCTTGGTGGGAAATCAGCTTTGTTCTAGTGTGTTCCATGGGGATCTGGGCTGAGCAGCAGGGGCTCGGGGCCACTTGGCACCAAGCACAGCCACCCCTTCAAGTCTCCTCCCCTGGCCTGAGTCATTGACCAAATGAGGACGAGGGAGAGGACTCAGGTGGGGAGGAGGAGGAATTAGAAAAGAACCAGGTGATTCCCTCCTCTTCCCCAAATGGGCCCTACCTGGTGGTTCATTCACTGGGCACCTCCATGGGCCAGACCCAGCACCGTCTTGCTTGACTTCCCAGCCGCTGAAAGAGGTGGGCTTCCCTAGAAAACATGCTTTTAGAAGATGGCTGAGAAGCAAGACCCTGCCTTGGGCTAGGGGCTAAACCCAGCCAGCCTCTCAACACTTTCACATCCATCCCAGGGAGGGAAGATCCCCATTCGCTGGACAGCGCCTGAGGCTATTGCTTTCCGCACCTTCTCCTCCGCCAGTGATGTGTGGAGCTTTGGAGTGGTCATGTGGGAGGTGTTGGCCTATGGGGAACGGCCCTACTGGAACATGACCAACCAGGACGTGAGTGCAGGGCCTGGGGCGGGGATGCAGCCTTAGGGCCCTGGCCTGAGCCCAGCGCTGTGACCTCCTCCAGGTCATCAGCTCAGTGGAAGAGGGCTACAGACTGCCGGCTCCCATGGGCTGCCCCCGAGCCCTGCACCAGCTAATGCTGGACTGCTGGCACAAGGACCGGGCCCAGCGGCCTCGCTTCTCTCACGTAGTGAGTGTTCTGGATGCACTGATCCACAGTCCCGAGAGCCTCCGGGCCACAGCCACAGTTGGCAGGTACCTGACGTCCTCCACCCAGCCCAGCCTGATCCCAGCCCTGTTCCCTCCTTCTCAGAGTTCAGTCTACCAAATGCTGGCCTGGGATAGAGGCAGAGGGTGGCCCGCCAGTGCCTATGTCCCTGGGGAAGGCTGGAGCCCTGATAGGCCCCTCACTGAGCTCTCTGTTCCCAGGTGCCCACCCCCTGCCTTTGCCAGGAGCTGCTTTGACCTTCGAGGGGGCAGAGGTGGCAGTGGGGGCCTCACCGTGGGAGACTGGCTGGACTCCATACGCATGGGCCGATACCGGGACCACTTTGCTGCTGGCGGGTACTCCTCCCTTGGCATGGTGCTGCGCATGAATGCCCAGTGAGTGAGGGGTGCGACTTGCACCCAAAAGGGCAGGGTGGGCAAGAGGGCAGGGAGCCAGAGGTGATTCCAGGGCAACTCTGGGAAGACACTGGGCTGCCTTCTTACTTCCCAGCCTCCAGGCCAAGCTGGCAGACTTTGCCTCTTTTACAGGGATGTGCGTGAACTTGGCATCACCCTCATGGGTCACCAAAAGAAGATCCTGGGCAGCATCCAGACCATGAGGGCCCAGCTGAGCAGTACCCAGGGGCCCCGCCAGCACCTCTGACTCATAGCTGCCTGGCCCTCATGCTGACTGTCAGAGTCTCTGCTGGGCCACCCAGCAGTCTGGGTGGGGCTCTGTCACAGGACCTAGAATTACAGGGGTCAGGTACCTGGGAAGGGGACCTTAGCGACTCAAGTGGCCCCCTGCCCTCCCATGGCACAGAGAGAGCCTTGTGTCTTCCAGAGTCTGGGGACTCAACACTAGAATCTCCAGTGACCTCTCCTCTCACCTGCTGCTGTGTATACGAACAGGTGATGGTAGGGGTGTGCTCTCCTAAGGTCTTGGACATGATGGGAACAATGTGGAATCACATGTCTTTGTCCCCATTTAGGCTCTAACACAGTTGTGTGTAGGTTGCAGTGGGTGTGCTTATCCATTAAGGTGGGAGCCACACCTATGACCACAGATACGGTGTCACCTATGAGGAAGCATGGCAGTATGAGTAAGGAATCCGAGTTGACACAGCCCAGTTCCCAGAACCCATGGGGACCAGGCAGAGGCTCATGTTCATGCCCCTCCCTGAATGCCTGAAGACTGGAGTCCAGGCTGCTTCAAACCACACCAGCACTAGGTCCATTGCCCCACCTGGGTGAGCCCACCATGGCTGTATCTCAGGTCTGGGTCTCCCTCCTACTTGGGGCGGGGGGGGGGCACCTGCAGCCTCCACCAGGGTTCTCCTGCTGCTCAACAGGAAAACAGGGTTTCTGGTCAGTACCTCTGGCCACCTTTCACAGAGGCATCATGGCAGGATGTGACTTGGCTGCCTGGCCATCCTCTCCCATGTCTAATGCCCCTTCCTAACCTTGCACTGCCCAGCCCTCTGCCTCTGTCGATGCTGGGAGCAGTAGCACAGCGCAGAGCCTCTGAGCCCCAGGCCTGCCCCTTCCTATATCACATGGGGAGGCCCATAGAGGGGTATGCCTTGTCCAAGGTCACATAACCAAATTTCACAGTTGGGGCCCCTTTCCTCCTAGCCCAGATCTCTTCTCCCCATCTACTACTTGACACAGACAGCTAGGGCAGAAGAGGCCTGGGAAGCCCATCTCCCACAAGCTGACCCCTCCCCCCACAACACATACTTAACGGCCCACCAGGGTATGTAAATATCTTTTTTCTACCATGTCAGAATATTTTTTTCCTCACTCCTGACAATGCAAAAATGGTCTTCAAAGCACATGCAAAGCACCCCGGGTGAGAAAACTATCCTGGGGGAGTTAGGGCCCAAAGAGCCCCCACCCCAGGGGGAAGGGAAGTCCCCTCCCCTGCCCAACTCTACCCACAGCCAGCACAGCACCTCAAGAGACACCAGCACTGAGCCCTCTCCCTCCTGCAATAATTCAGGGGCCTCAGCCCTGCCTAGGTGCCACGGCCAGCTCTGGCGTCTCTATATATTATAATACTATGTAGCCAAGCTGCCCTCCCTTCCTATGGAAGTGGGAAACATGGTCAGGACACGAGCAGGGGGTGGGGAGACACCCTGTCTTCCACCCCACCCCACCCCACTCACCCAGTTTCTGGACTCGGGGTCTTCAGGCAAGGCCTCTGGTGTGGGCCTCTCTTGGGGGCTCCTGGGGCCTGCCTCTCTGTGGCCCCCATCCTCAGTCTGGAAGTTACCCTCGATGAGAATAAATTCTGCCTCATCTTTGCTGGTGTGCCTTGTGTTTTCAGTCCTGCCCCTTGGAGAGGGGGCAACCTTCTGCCAGGCTCCAGTAATGTGTGCCTCAGAGCCACAGGATCCCTCCGATGCCTCTGTCCCAAGAAGTGATGCAGGGCACTCACTTCTACCACAGGCAAGCTGGTCTTGGAGAGGTCACCTTTCCCAAAGTCAAGTCTAGGATGCAGATGAACTGGCGGGGTGTACCTCCTCCCCCAGGCCAAGGTCTGGCTCCTAGACTGCAGTTGGGACTCAAACCCCAGCCGAGGCCTCACAGCTGGAGTCCTCTTCATAGGTAAGAGACACACCCCCTGGTGGGTAAAGATGGAAGGAAACGTTCATTGGAACAACTTACTAAGACTGGGGCAAGGTCTAAGAGAGGGAAAGTCTTTTCTTGTCACCTCAAGAAGCTGAGGACCCAGCAGCAGGAGCCAGGGGAGGGTGGAATCAGAACCTGGGCAGGACACAGAAACAGACGGACCCAAGGCTGTCCATTTGTGCTAAAGCCTTGGGCATTTGGGGGAGATGCCCCTGTGGTCATAGAAATAAGCACGTGAAAGCTCTCCAACTGAGGAGGGGACGAGTCCCCTCAGCTTGGGAAAGTGGGAACAGAGGATTCAGCAGGGCGCAAGCATAGTGGGAGAGGCCCAAGTTCCATGCAGCAGGAGCCTCACATGAAGCCAGACCTTCAAACTCGGCATCTCAAACACAACTCCAGACCCCTCCCTGTGATACCTGCTAATCCCTGGGAGGAAAAAGCCTTACACTTCAGACTCTATTGAGCCCCTACTCTGGGCCACAAGGGTGGACTGAGTGGAACGACACAGTGCACAAACGAGGCCTCCCAATGGGACCCGGCATGTTTAGTGTCCAGGAAATGAGCACAGGAAGATTAGAGGGGGCCAGAGAGCAGGGTGGCTGGGGCTGCCACCAAGGGTTTCCTGGAGGAAGAAGCATTTTCGCTGGCGTTGAAGGATGAGAAGGGCTGGGAAGTTCATTTTCTATGTAATCCCTGGTAGAAAGCAAGGAATTTGGAGGGAAAGAAGCAAGCTGTGTGCAGAGGTGTGGAGCCTCATCATGTGTGCAAGGGTGTGTGCACAGGCAGGGTGCAGACTTGCCATGGCAAAGTTGGCTGTGTCCCTCCAATTTAAACTGCACATTGTACTGCCAATAAAAACCACAGCAGTATTTTCACTGCAATGTGACAAGGCTGTCCCAAAACGTGTGTGGAGTACGAAGGATCCCAGAGTAGCCAAGATGATTTTGAAAGGATCGAGGAAGAAGGGAACCCAGTGTGCCAGACACCATGCTGAAGCTCAAGTGGTTAAGATCGATTCAGTCTCATCCAGAGATCAACAGGTAAAAGAACAGGGACTGTTCCTCAGAACTGAGCTCAATATCCATGAGAGTTTGACCACAGCAAGGGTGTAGTGTGATGCAGTTGAAGGATAACATTGGAATACTCTGCAGAAAAAAAGACAAAATGGGATCCTGGCACACACCACTCACAAAATAAGTGACTATAGTCTTTAAAGAAAGCTATAAAATTTTTGATAGAAAACAGCAAAATTGCTTGATAATATTAGAGGGAAAAATAAAGAGGAAGCATTAAGAGCATAAATGATAAAGGAAAATCGGATTATTTTACCAGAATCAAGAACTTCTATAGGACAAAGAAAGGAATACATGGGGTGCGGTGGTGTGCATCTGTAATCCCAGCACTCAGGAGGCAGAGGCAGGAGGCTCTCAAGTCCGAAGTTTGACCCCACATGGTGGAGGAGAGGACCAACTCCCAAAAGTTGTCTTCTGACCTCCACATGCACATTATGACACACCAAAGCATGCACTCGAGTAAGCACACACACACACACACACACACACACACACACACACACACAAATGTTTACAATTTTTATTTAAAAAGCCAAAGAAGAACTAGAAATAAAGCTCAGTAGTAGAGTGCTTGTCTACCATGTATGAGGCCTTGGGTTCCATCTCTAGCACCACAAAAATAAACAGCAACAAAAAAACTCCAAAGGATTAACTTACCAAAACTACCCATAGAAATAGGAATATGGGGACTGGAGAGATGGCTCAGTGATTAAGAGCATTGGCTGCTCTCGTAGAGGACCTGGGTTCGATTCCCAGCACCCACATGGCAGCCAACAACCATCCTTAACTCCAGTTCCAGGGGAATATGATGCCCTCTTCTGACCTCCAAGGGCATTGCAGGACACAGGTGCACTATGTCCATGCAGGCAATGCACTCATATATGTAAAATAATAAATATTTTTTTAAAAAATAAAATAAGCCAGGCGTGGTGGTGCACACTTTTAATCCCAGCTCTCGGGAGGCAGAGGCAGGTGGATCTCTGTGAGTTCAAGTCTAGCCTGGTCTACATAGTGAGTTCCAGGCCAGCTGGGACTACAAGGAGACCCTGTCTCAAAAAGACCAAAATTAATTAATTAAAATTAAATAGGAGCCAGGTGTGGTGGCACACGCCTTTAATCCCAGCACTTGGGAGGCAGAGGCAGAGGCAGGCAGATTTCTGTGAGTTCAAGGCCAGCCTGGTCTACATAGTGAGTTTCAGGACAGCTGGGGCTACAGGGAGACCCTGTCTTAAAAAGATGGAAAAAAATGGGAATATGGACGAGGTATGAATAGACAACAGAGGAATAAACGTGAATAGCCAATAAAGATTTAGAAGATTCTCAACCAATACACACAGAAATGCAATTTAGACAAACATTGAGATCATAAATGCATCCACCTGACTGGCAGTGTCAGTCTATACCTGACACAGATGAAGGTGTGGAGGGAGAAGCTCTGTTCATAAACTGCCAGGGGGTAGTGCAAATTGGCACAGCTACAATGGAGAATCATTTGGAAATGCTTAGTAAAATTTTGTTGCCGTTTGTCTTGAGACAGGGTCGCCTCTAGCTCCAACTGGTGTTGAACTCCCTATGTGGATGAGGATGACCTTTAACTTTGCATCTCCTGCCTCCACCTTCCTAGTCCTGGGATACAGGTGTGGACAGCAACCATGCCTGGCTCAGAAACACTCATTAAAATTTAAGATGAGCAGCTCTATAACCCAACCAATACTACCACAAATGTGTGCCTGCCTAGGTTAAGGTCCCTCTTTGAGAACCTGGGATGGAGATTTCCTGTACAGATAATTCATGGAGGGTCAGCTTTCAGGTGGGAGGGAAGCAGTTTTGGGGCTTAATCTATGCTCTCAAGAATCCTACACAAACAAGCCCTCTATGACTGAGCCCCACCCCCACCCCACCAGTGGTGATTGCTACCCACACGCAAATCTCAGCCTAGCATGTAACAGAAAAGCAAAGAGAAGCGAACTGTCTCTCAGCAGGAGAGCAGGAAAATAAACTCCTTAACAAGAACAATTAAATAATCTACCTCAGTTAACATGAGTAACCAGATCAACATGTGCCAGCATGGCTGAGTCTTCCAAATGTCATACGGAGAAAGAAATGAGTGACAGCCGACCAGCACGCGGCATCACCTCATTTATGTAAACCTCAGAAGCACATGTCGCAATAGGATGCAGAGGTTTTGAATGACTAACTGGATAATAACAGCACAAAGCACGGGGGACAGATAAACCTTGCCTTCATCCCCATTCTGTTTGTCCTGTTTCATTGATTTTCTTCTAAAAAAGATAGAACCCTGGAACAAATGTGGCAAAATGTGCTTAGTCTTGATGGTGACACATCAAGGGGTGATTATTTTATGACTTTTCTCCTTCTGTATGTTGAAATACTCTGATTAAAACTAAAAGTGTTTGGAGGCTAGAGACATGGCTTGATGGTTAAGAGCACTTGCTACTTTTGCAGAGGGTCAGAGTTTGGTTCCTAGCACCCACATTGGGTGGCTCATAACTGCCTGTAGCTCCAGCTCACACCCTTTGGCCTCCATGTTCACCCCCACACATGTAGTATACAGACACATACACAAACACACAAATGATAAAATAAATCTTAAAAATGTTTGAAAACCATAAGGATCTGGGTGTGATGGGACCTGCCTATAATTCTAGTACTCAGGAGACTGAGAAAAGAGGACAGCCAGCCTGGGCTACATCTCAAGACCCTGCTTCACAAAACAACAAGCATCCCAACAAAAAGCTCACAAGGAAGAATCCCAAATACAAATTCTGCTTACTTCTCTTTTTTGTAAACCTAATACTGCTTTTAAAAAAATAGATTTTGTGGGTCTGAATAGATGGCTTGGTGCTTAAAAAGCACTGGCTGCTCTTGCAGAGGACCTGGGTTCAGTTCCCAGCATTCACGTAGCAGCTAACAGCAGTTTGTAATTCCAGTTCCAGGGAATCTGATGCCTTCTTCTGGTCTTCACAAGCATTGCAGGCACAGGTGCATTTACATATATGCAGGCAAAGCACTTATATGCATTTTAAAAAATAAATTTTTTGAATAGCTTTTGTTGGAAGACCATCAGGATGGCTCATCAGATAAAGCTGACTGCCACAAAACTTGACAACCTGATTTTGATCCCTGGAACCCGAGTTGGATCCCTGGTGGAAAAAGAAAACTTGCCCCTCAAAGTTGTCCTCTGACCTCCACACACAAGCTATGGCACACGTGCTCCCTCTGCCCCAACCATACATACAATAAAATAAATAAAAATGTAAAAAAGAATTGTGTTGGCTTTTTTTTTTTTTAATCCACAGAGAGGGTTTTGAGGTGCCTAACTAGGAAAGCCCGGGGTCTCAAAAACAGCTGAGAGCGGGCCCTATGTCTCTGCTAGGGCTGTACTGTCCAGGGTCCTGGATCCCGATCGGGGAGTTGTCCAGGGTGCTGAACCCCCATTGTGGGTTCTGGTGGCACTGCAATATACCAGCAGGCCTGAGCTTTTTCCAAAATGCTTCCCATGTAGAAGGGCACAGCTCCATTTCCTGCACTCCCAAGCCCTTCCGGA